ACGTTTTTTGAAAATGACGCTCATCTTCCCCCGTCATTTTTAGTGGTTCGACATGCTTTAAAATGCTTTTAATAAGGTGCTGTTCTTCAATCAAATTTTCTAGGAATGTTTTACTAACATTTGGCCCTCGATAGACAACGGGTGATTTAGTGTACCTCTCATCCACACACACAACCTGATAACCAAAACCGCAAGGTTCAAATTTAGTATTTGGAGTCGTACTAGACGTTTGAGGATTAGGCAGACAAGAATCCATCTTTTGTGTAAAAGTTTCAAAATCTGCATAGATTACAAACGGGACGCGCATCTGTTTATTAAAATCGCAAAATTCTAAAAATTGCTCACCTTCTGATGGGTGTTTCACATGTTGTGGATCGTATTTAGAACAATATTCGACATGATTTTCAAGTAAATCCTTGCCCGTGAACCCTTGTAAGCAAAATTGGCAAAAATATGTTGTACAATGATGAGATTTCGTTCTGCTAAGAAACGTATCTAGATTTGTTATCAGACAATTATGTGTTTTTTTACCTTGTTGTAACAGTAATAAATTAACGTGATGTCGTGATTCTCTAACCTTTGTAACATACAATGGGAAAATTGTCTCATCCTCATTTCCAAATACATTCACAGAAATATTATTTTGTTTTTCAAACTTATTCACATGAGAAATACGAACAAGGTATTCGATACCATACATATTGAGTTCGAGTTCATATTTTGTATAATGATTCTCAAGTTCTGGCATGTCTGCTGCTGGATGTAGAGAAGCAATTACTGACCACGTGAAACATTTCTCGTCATTGTTGAGAATGTTCAACAGTTTATGTTGCCTGAATGTTCCTGGAGTGCGAAGATCCTGATAAAGGTGAATATTTCACAGTACTCACTTCTAGTTTAATGATCCTTTTTAAAATCCAATTCGATCCTTCCCTAATGTATTCTTCAAAGCCTAAAAACATCTTTTGAAATGCTTCGTTCAAATCATGTTGCGAAAACTTCTCATTTGGCAAATAAATTTTACTTCTAAAGTGTGGATAGGACTGCTGCTTGTTTCCATCCTTGTCTTCTTTTTCTAATTCCACTTGAATACATAAATACCATTTAATCCCTCCTAGCTCGTTACTTCTTTTTTCTAAATGTGTTCTCACTTCCTGTGAAGTGTTTGTTGCAAAGCGAAGCAAATCCTTATCATCGTCACCATTCGGATATATGTTTCTAATATTAGCAACGCCATTTAATCTGCTTTCGTCTGAATAACGATGATCGTTGTGAATAAAAACATTACCTCCCTCCTGCTCTTCTACAGCTGGAGAACGCTGTTCTCGTGCAAGTTCTGGGGATTGCATCCAACTCGGTCCCACGATTGGAGAATCTACACCAAGTTCCGGAGAAGCCGCACGCTGTTCAGGAGAAGCCGCACGCTGTTCTGGAGAAGCCGCACGCTGTTTCGGAGAAGCCGCACGCTGTTTCGGAGAAGCCGCACGCTGTTCTGGAGAATCGTTAGCTGGTGAGTTGTAAATTTCATGCGTTTTTAATACATGTCGTTTTAAGGCGAAAACATTGCTCAATGTTATGGTACAATAATTGCAAGGTATCCGTTTTGAAGAAGTAGAAGGAATATTCTCTTTATCAATTACCTCATCCTCATGTACAAGCGACACATGGCGAGTTAAATTGAAAAGTCGAGAAAATGTTTTACCACATATTTCACACAAAAAACCTACAAGGTGAGCTTTAAGATGCTTCACTCGATTTATTTCACAAACTTGCTTGTGGCATTCTTCACACTCTTGGGTGGTTTCTTCATTTGGCCCAGTTTCAACATCACTATCTTTTACCGACGTTTTCGTATTTTTAGTTGATGAGGTATCTAGACTGTCTAGTTTTTTCTTTAAGTCTCGTATTGTTTCTCTATCTTCTTCATCTCCTTCTCCATATATCTTCAGTAGACCAGCAAGAAATCCGTCTGCCATGGTGAACAATTTAGATCCTGTATGAAATCTGCCTTGAAACAGCTATACTTAAAGTGTGTGGGCGGAGCAAGTGGGCATGTCTAAACTTTGAATGCCAGCCATTTCTTCTTCGCCTTCTGTTTATTGATGCGAGTCATGAACTCACGAGGTGTAGTTTCCACATATAATTGTCCAGCGTCCTGTGTTGTTTCAGGATTTGAATCATTTTTTTCTACTGAGTTATTGTCATTAGTTTGTTGTTTTACAATACTTGGTGGTTCCTTCCATTCGTTTGATTCTTGTTTTACTCTACTTGGTGGCTCCTTCCTTTCATTTGATACCTGTTTACTGTCATTTATCAACTCTTCGTATTTAGCTCTCGGAATTAAAACTAATTCTTTTGCCATTCTAAATACGCTTTAACAAATAAAGTTAACAAGCTTCCTTTGAGTGACAATAATCTCTTCTGTCTCTGCTTTGGTCTTATTCCTTCGGCTAAAACTTTACGAATAGTCAATTTATGTCTGATCAATTTATTTTTATCACTTTTACTGATTGGAATATTATCCATGACAGCATTATAGATTATTTCGATTGAAAACTTTAGCTGTTTATAAGCCAATGACTCCAATATAACTGTTTGTTGTTGCTTTGAAGCAGTATTAAAAAAATCAGCAAATTCTTTCGTTTTCTCGGTTCGTAAAAAATGGTGTCTTCTCCGGGCAATATTCGAGTGCGTAATGGTGTAATTTCAATCGAATATTCTTTAATATTGAGTTGTGTTTCATGGGGATTTATATCTATCAACAAATAACCTAACGTTTAGAGGTTGCTTTAAGATATGTGTCTCTAAAATATGCAGTTTGTCTTGGAAATATTTGCCTTCCCAACATTTCAACGATAAAACAGATTAAAATAATGTGTGTTTAGACTTAATGTTCTCATAGCCTTACCCTTTTGAAATATATTTTGCACTAAAAACATAACAGTAATGTTTTCGTGATGTGAACTAACGCAGAACATCTTCATTAGATGTGGGCTATTTACTCCATCGGCCATGCAATCATCGATGACTAGTAACTTATGTCCGCTAATCTGCGACCATTCTTTAAATTGTTCTTCATCCGGAAGACCCTGATGGAAAGTTACTTCTTCCAACTTTTGTTTAATGTCGTCAAACAGAGACTGCCATGTATTATAACAAATAATGATTTTTGTTGGAGGCTGTTCAAACATTCCATCTGCATGTTCTAATATCTGTTTTGTTAGATATGTTTTACCGGATCCTGTTGGTCCACATATCATAACGGTTGTAGGAGTTTGAAATTTGATCAAACTTTCTTCTACAACCTGTTATCTTCCATGACTCAATGTAGAATGAAGAGACATACGCAAAACAACACAATATATATTCCATTATTTTATTTCAGAACAACATTTCTGTTTGATATCATTATAGTGAATACAAAACGGAAAAGAGTTTTCTATGTAATTATATACAATCCTATCACTTTTAACATGATCTCTATCAAATATATTTGTTATACATTTCATAGTCATCCCTCTACATCGATTAAGCAGAAAAAAACACAATATTGTCCACAAACATTCGAGGTTGTACTCTGAATGCGTTTATGGTTATATACAAAATTGTAGAAATCAAAGTCGAAATATTCTGACGAGTGTCCATAACTGTCAAATAATTCTCCTTTATTCTTTGTATACAGCTAGCTAATGCTTTCCAGGTAGGTTGCTATTATCTGTATTTAAAATAAAACCGGTAGGCCACTTATGTATGTTTGTTGGTATCTGATCGCTCGCGTAGACACCTAGAATAATATTTCTCATCACAGGATCACATTCGATAGCACATCGAAGTTGATGTATGTTCATGACTGTGCATTAATGTCTCTAGCAGCGTTGATTTCAAAATATCCTGGATATTCAGCATAGATGATGCAAGTGATTGTTTCTGTGAGAGCAGTTCCGAATGTGGCTTCCAGTCTTACGTTACCCTGCTTTACTAGGGTAAGGTATTGACTATCTTGAAATATGGGTTCCAAATTGAATGTGTACAGTGCATAACCGTTGGCTATCTCATCTCTATCAATATTCAATCCACTATCGTTCAACCATTTACCACTGGTTTAAATATATTTGCTAGAACGGGAATGGTAGTCTCATCGCCTGTCGAGGAATAATTCAATTTTAAAGGCGTTCCCCCGACGGGAATGCCATCCACAAATAAACCAACGAATGTAACATTATAATGTTTAAAGAACCATGGATTTTGACCATAATCTCCAGTAGCAGCTGTAGACTTTACAAATCCTACAGTGATGAAGTTTGGTCTCATTCCTTGAAACATATTGTCATATGTGTAACTAGACGAACCCGTTGGTATAGTCATCTGTTTAATGAGAGATTGTGTGAAGGGGTACTTTGCATTAGTCGTATTTAGAGCTTGACTCTGTGCATATATAACGGCAGGGTTCACTTTGACTTTAGCCACACGTAAACATATGCTCTCCTACTCAATTTTATAGCTAGAATTAGCTGCATCTGTCACAAGGCAGAACTCTGGTTTAGATCTGTACATTTTTACATTAACATTTACTTGATAAATTGAATATCTATCCATTTTGAATAAATCGGGATACAGAGGACCTTGCATGTCACATGTTTTACTACCCTCAAACAGTTTCGCTCTTGTCAGTAGATTCAAATTAGATCCTCACATCTACATCATCCATTTCTCCTTTAGTATCTTGGTACCATAATTGCGTGGCAAGTTGAGATGCTTTGGTTCATAACCAAAGTTTAACAGTGATTGAATGTAAGCTTTATATGCATTATGGTTCGTTGTATACAACACAGGCTTTCCCTGTAACGCCACATCTACAAATGTACAGGTCCAATGTTCTCATCCACAGCAATTTTGCTTCCATCACCCTATTTTTATTTTAGCTTTCACCGATATCATTGTGTTTTTCAGATCGATGTATTCCATACCATTCTGGCCGGAAATGACGAACTCGATGGGGGCTTCGCCGACGACGTGCGAAATGGGAAGAACGTCTTGATAATATATATTCTCTACAGCTGTCTGTGTTGGAGGTAATTCAAAAATGGCGAGTTGTGAGGGTTGAGCTTCCGTGAAAAATTCACTGTTTACTGCAGCCATGATGGTAGAAATTTCTTATTCTTACCTTTCTGCTTCGTCGTTTTTTGTTTTTTTGATATAGGTTTCTTTTTTATTGCAGGTTTCTTTTTTATCACAATTTTCTTCTTGGACTTAGCTTGTGGTGTGATGTTTACAGTTCGACGTTTCTTGTTCGACTGATTATCTCGGATTTGGCTTGTTCTATCACCTGTTGAGTTGGTGAAACTAGATTTACACCAAGGTTGTGTAATGCTATAGTTTTCTCACGTTTGCCATTATCAATGGGAATCGTGAACTCCTTAGTGTTGGTAGATATACCACCTCCATGCTGTTTCACTTCTCGATTGCTATCGATATATGGATTAATTTTGCCACTAGTAACGTTTTTGTAATACTTCATCCATTTTTCCACATTGGGAATGTACATGTTTGAAACATTCATGAGTAAAACGGATATGATTTGAAATGTAGTGTTATCGTCACCGATTGTTTTAGAAATGAAGGAACTTCGCCTTTCTCATTTGTTATATATATATTTCGATGTCTCTAATCTCTGATTTATTTACAGGTACATATTGAAAGATCGTGAAAGATTGGGTCCAGTTAGCTTGCTTGTACGATTTCACCATGCGGAGGAGACTTTCCTTTTCACCGTCGACGATAGATTCATCACTTACGTCGCAATGTACGTACAAGTTTTCCTTTGTTTTACCAGTTCCAACTAAACAAATATCTGCCAACGCTACCTGCCAGAGTCCATGTAGATGCAGGGGAGATTGTAAATGCCTGGAAAATATTCCTTGTTCTTATTACTGTTGATTGTGACGTAGTGTGTCATGATCAATGTCTACAGTATCAATAATGGTATCTGCATCGACATATGAATTATATTTGGTTGGCCATCCCAACCATTTTACAAGCCACTGTTTTCTACCACTTATCTTGCGCGTCTTGATTTTCTTCTCTATGTAAAATAGTGAATCAATGTTCTTATCAACTCTCTGCAATTCTGATTCATAAAAGTTACCCTTGATAACTTCGTTTAGAAAATTAATCAGCTGATATTGGGGAATACCTTGTAATAGATATCGTCTGTGTACCCTAAATATTTCGGATGACGACTGTTGTTGATAGGCACGCTTAAAAAGTTGTTTTGCGTGAGATATTCGAACGAGATTTCCTATTTTGAATCTATACTTGATCCTTTTTTTGATGGGGACCTTAACTGGTTTCTTTGATTGATGTTTCATCGGTTTCTTTCTCAAGTACAGATATGCAAAAATATCTGCCTGATTTTCTTTGTTGACATTTTTAGGAGCTATACCATTAAGGATCGATGCGGTGTAGAATTGTAACTATCAACCAGTTTCTGTAGAATGTCAGTATATTTGTACGTTCTGTGTTTTGTCAAGTATCGAAATAGCATGGTCTTAAACGTCCGTGTGCACCTTTCGATTATAATTGCCTTCGTATCGTTTTGAGTGGTAAAATAATGAATGTGTTCAGTATCTTGACATGTATTTTTACCAATCCCGCTAGATCGATCCATATATTTGCCAACCCCATCCTTGCAGTATTTCCTAAAGATCGCATTATTAAACTCTCCACCTTTGTCTGTCCGAAGTTTGTGAGGCACTCCACTTCTTTGGGCCATTTTCTTGAAAGCTTTTAAAACTTCCTTTGCCGTTTTGTTTTTCAGAGGTTCAATCCATAGATGCCGACTGAAGTCGTCAATAACCATCAAGAGATATCGCACTCCCGAATTATGTTTGGATAGAGATGTCATGTCTGCCAAATCAGCATCGTACTGTTCACCTGGCCCGCCAACTTCAACACGTGCACGTTTGAATGAGCGCCTAACTGGTTTTTGTAAACTATAATCATCAAGACTCTGTATATATCTTCTGATCTTATGTATACCGAGGGTTTTAATACCTTGCGATTTCAATATTTGATGAACCTCCACGGGACTGAGAAATGCACATCCATTCTCCAAATTATAATATACGTCATCTATAAGTCGTCTCTCTTCCTCGGTCAACATATTTGAAAAAAAAATGGGACAAAAACATTTATGTACAAACTTGTATTAACATTGATACATATTACAACGTTTTGTGAAACCAATCTTCTACACGATTCATGGACATGACCATTATACCGACTTTCTCTTTCCATTTTTCTGTTTTAAGTTCATTACTTCTCCATTTGGCATTACATAATTGTGAAATGAAAGCATTTCTAGCACTTCTCTGGATTTCAAAACAAACAGTCTCTTGAATAAAGTCACGAATTACTTTAATGGCATCCTATTCCGAATTATTCTGACGTTTTATCGAGTTTTTTCATATCGGTCTGTCGTCGATTAACGACAGACCGATATGAAAAAAGTAGATAAAACGTCAGAATAATTCGGACTAATGGCATCCACTTGAATAAATGCATCCATTATATCACACTGTCTTTCACTTATGATTTCTGNACTGTCTTTCACTTATGATTTCTCGAACATGATATGCATATATTAGATTTAATAAGTTATCCATTTTGAGGAATTCTTAGGAATTCCCACAAGGAAAAGTATTAATCATTTTGCGTTGCATGTCGATACATCCTATTCAAATTGGGTGGGTGGGGTAGAACACAATGACGATCAATACACTTCACAGAAAAAGTTTTTATGTTCCCAATATTTCAGTGTATTTTCACACTTAAAACAAGTAACGTACGTAATCATCGACACCTTCGTGAAAAAATCCGTCATTAGCCAGCTGATAAGGAGTCTGGCGAAGTTTAGCCCCACTGAGAGAGAATGTCACCAACCGATCGGAACAGCTCGTCATGTATAGGTGAACTGGGCGAGTGATACCAGTGTCCATCTATAAGTAGAATGGATTGATACGTTGCTAATATTATTTTCCATAGTGTTCCTTTCTTGTTTGCCTACAGTAAGTTGACCATCACATCCAGGTGTCTTTCGGATGCTTGAATAGACATATCTGAGATATCAGCGTTCTTGACGGTGTCGATGAGAGCTTGAGCCATGTGAGGCAGCGATATGCCCTTGATCATATCTCTGACTTATATAGTGTATGCTGGTGTGAGTAGTGTGTGAGTAACGTGTGAGTAAGGTGTGAGTAATATGTGAGTAGTGTGTGAGTAATGTGTGTGAGTAATGTGTGAGTAGTGTGTGAGTAAGGTGTGTGAGTAATGTGTGAGTAGTGTGTGAGTAATGTGTGAGCAAAGACCGCCAGCACATTACAAAAGTAGCACCAGGGGTGATGTCTATTATCCTTCATCCCAGCAATGATGAGAGCGTGCAACTCTTGAGAGAAGAACCCGTACCGATATGTGCTGTATGTAGGGTGGTCATTTCTAGATAGTGTTATTGATGTCAGGAAAATTACTGTTTTTGGAAAGATATGTAGAATCATGAAGGGACCTGAGAGCTAACCTAAGTTGTTCATAGTAATTTTACACGTCTTATTGGTTTTTTACATTTGTTCTAAGCCCCTAAAACATGTAAAATTACTCTGAACACCTTAGTTTAGGTCTAAATCCATAAAATGTATAGCTGCATTTTTTTCTCATTATGTAACAGTTTCAAAAGATTCATATGGGGACGCATTTCTTCTCTAGTTCTATTAAGTGCATATTTTATTATCTTTAAACGCATTATTAGTTCATATGAAAAGTTATTTTTAATGATATTTGTGTTCTGCTNAGATTATTTTGAATCCACATTCTTTATAGGCTAGCTACGCGCCTGGCTATATATATCCGCTTGAAGTCCGTCCCTCCCGAACAACTTTTCTACGATTGAAATATGGCGGGAATTAGTCTACCTGTTTCCTTCGGAACTTCTCGCTATTGTTCAACATTGCGATGTTGATTGTTTATTGGGTTTTATTTGTCGGCTTGTCTGTGGTGGAAGACTGTGCTATCGCTGTTCAAACATCAATAGGCGATTTGTTTATGTTTTGACCAGCATGTGTTGGTGTTGAGATTGAAGAAACAGATGTTCGTTACTTACAAGGAAACATGTGGGTAAGTGATCGTCTTCGGAGCTGGTGTGAACAGGTGACGAGCAGGCGTTCGCTGATCCGATATAACTCATGTACTGTACTGTAACAGTTATATCGGATCAGCAAGGGTAAAACGAATATCAAACTAAATACATGTAACGGTGCATCAGTCATTCAGTATGATAGCTAGCGCATTATATCATTTACTGCAAGTTTGTTAACTTCATCACGACCATGGGGCCACGGCCAACTCCCACATTCCACACAGGTGCAGCATTTAACAACAACAGTCTTATTATGCAACGACATGAGAAATTCATCTGTTTTGTAGTTTGATTACGGGGCTTTTAACAGAGTTACAATTTGTTCCAGTCACTTTGGTCATCCTTTCTGTATTCAAAATTAGTCTTATAAAAATATTCTTCTATATGATATAACAAGATGTCTACACTTGCAAGCTAAATTTCAGAGACACCGCTTCATATATCCCTACATAATTTGTCGCAGACAACTCCAGATATTTTTTTTGCCAGGGTGCGTGGCTGTTTGATTCATCTGTCCATAATGCAGTGCATATGTGCATACATTGATCTGTTAACACCTTTTTCCTTGCAATAACTTCTGATCCGACCGCATTCCGCAAGAAATTGTTATGAATTCTGATGAAGGTACCTGTCATAACAACCCAGCCAAAAGTCAAATGTTGGTCAAACCTTGGATCGGCAAGGCATCAAATGTTGGTCAAACCTTGGATCGGCATGGCATCAAATGTTGGTCAAACCTTGGATCGGCATGGCATCAAATGTTGGCTCGACATATATTCGTCAACGCAGTGAGGTTGGCGCAAGTTTGGATTAAAGCAATTTTGTTAAACAACAGCAAACTTTGGGCCAATTCAAGTTCACTGGCCTTACACTTAATTCCGATGTTGGCCAAACGTTCTGTCACCGAAATAATTGCTTCTTTCGGTTTTCTTACATTATTCAAGGTGGGAAGAAAAGTTTTAAAATGATGCTAATCAAATTGCATTCATAGACCTATATTTACATTTCCACTGCAAGTTGCTGTATGAGCATTATCATGAGAAATTGCGTCATTAGGGTTATGAATGCACTTGGATCAGCATCATTTCAAGCTTCTCCTCCTACCACGAATAACATGAGACATCAAAAGGGCCACTAGAAGCAAACATTTTGATGACATTAGGCTGTTCCAGGAATCTCGTTTACAATGACAACATAAACACTTCAATAGCAGAAATATAAGGGAATATCGGTGTATTCAGGTGAATTATAAGTAAAAAAATAGAATGTAAATGTAAGGATTGAACTGCATTTTCCGGATGATCATGCTGGTATGAACACAAGTCGATTACATACATATTTACCATAAAGCCCTATATGTAAATATGTATCTAATAAAAGGAAATGTGTCTGACAGAAACCGTTGACATAATACATTCTAATTAAGACAGGAGGTGTGAGTGTATGTGTGCTGACCACTTTAATTACTTAGAAGTGTTACATAATATAAGGGGTTCGTGTCATATTTCGTATACCGTAAATGTTGATCATGATCATGACTATTAAAGGGAATAGAGGATCGATCTATTTTCAAAGTGTTCCTTAACTTGTGCAGACAGACTTTTGAAAAGTCGTTCATGTCATATAACCAGATAATGTGTCATATAACCAGATAATGTGTCATATAACCAGATAATGTGTCATGCAGTGCTCCCAGTGGAAGTTGGGGAGGGGACCCTATTGGTCAAGTCTAAGTGTTATGTAGGTACTTTGAGGAAGACCAGGTAGATAATCAGTATGGAGAGACGTCCCTGCTCTGTCAGAACATAGGTCCTATTTTATATCCTATTTTATTGAACTTGTATACATTCATTTAAGTATCCCTGTCCCACTGCAGACAAAACGTTAGATAATTCCCTAGTTTTCTAACACAGTAGCCTCCCCTTAAGGTGGCCCCACACTTTCGCAATTAACCAGCAAAATTCGTTGAAACTTTCATATAATGGTTATGCAATTATGTAGAGTTGATTTTATGAAAATCTAAACATTCCGATAGTTTGGGGTCTTATTGGAAAAAATACCAAAAAATTGAATTTTCGTCAATTTTAATATTTTCCGTTTTTTTGTGTGTGTGGCATTGTTCGGAACAATAACAACAATAAAAAAAAGTATTTTTTATTGAATTTGTACGGATAAAAGTGATTATCTACAAGCTAAAAGCAAACAGGATACAAAGATCTATACATATAGAGTGGGAAATTGAACAAAATATACACAATGGCTTTATAATTAATTTATTTTACATTTTACAATAACTTTGATCCAGGTGAGAGTTATCTTCCTTGAAAAAAATCAGAACTTTTTGCAGAGGGATGAAATTTTTACAATGACAGTTGTCTCTGTTTACATATAACAAAAATGATGGAAATAAATCAAAAATATGATATCAAAATTATCAATTTATTGTTCTCTAATGGAACCAAATTATTCTCAGTCATGTACACTTTGGACATCATTCCACAGTCCACTAACTCACGGCATATTTATAATTACATGTCGGGTACATATGTGACCAGAGGCTATCGCATGGTATGCCGTTCTCACGTGCACTCACTCATGTATTTCATAGGGATCTTGATATTTTACAAAATATTATTTTCACAGAGTAAGTAGACTACATTTGTAAAAACCATTTAATCGACAGAGCGAAACTCGCTCAGCAGCGAAAATCGTAACGACCTCGAGCCTATGAACTTGTGTAAGCATGTGATATGGACATGTGCTTTTTGAGGTTGTCTGGTCTCATGTCACTGTCTTCCCGTGAGTCTGTTTATGTCTATGAATTGGAAAGCTTTATTCCTGAACTACGTGTGATTATACATTTCCCGGTAAAATCTCAATATCGGGTGTTGACATACAAATGTATCATCGGCACGCACGTGTGCTATTGTTTACCAGGGGTATTGTTCGTTTATGCGGAACAACGGGTTTGACCGTTTATAAATATAACAATTTCGGGTATAAATCCTGGCGGACCTGCAAATGTGTATGCAGGCCTTACAAGGCTTTCTCAGGGCTCGCCTGAAAGCAGCATCAGATTACTAGGTCCGACCTTTAACAAACGAATAACAGTGGTCCGATCGGTTTGACCGTTTAAACGAAAACGGCCCAGGTGTTACTATAATTTGCACTACGATATTGAATGCCCGATACGCAATACGGAAATGACGTCACGGTGCACATGCACATTTCGATCAAGATAATTGAGTTCGAGTTGTACTTTTTCCGTAAGTACGTCACGAAAATGGACGCTGATGACGATGTGTGGAGCCACCTTAAGTTCATTTTGTATATAATTGCTAGGGTAGTACTGTTAAACTACAGGCGGCTCAATTGGTAAGAGCAACAAAACGGGAATGAAAGGTCAAGGGTTCAAATTCTGACATATCCTGTTGTATGTTTACAGTTTAACCTGTAAAAATACAAAATTACTTCCTACCTATAAAACTTCTTTATTAAGGTATGGTTTTCTTTCCAAAAATGATTTATCAAAGCTGTAGTCATGCCATAAACAAATCCATAGTTACAGTTTTTGGCAATTGTAGGGGATTAAAGTGCATCTTTTAAACGTTTAAAATGTGACTTTGTCTCAAGTAATTCTATGACCTCATAAAGCGGTATGAAAATCAGTCAAGCATTGTCTATGTATGTACCTCAGATATTCACTGGAGCCTTGAGTGGTTTGACGTTGGTTGAATGAGGGTCATTCAATGGCCAGGGTACTTTGTAGGTTACTAAGCCTAAGGGAAAGGGGCAGTTTATGGTTTTGAATGAAAATTTTAATTGTTATTGAGGGAACTGAGGAAATGCCACAAAGATCAAGAGTTTCTACTGCTATGATTACTCTCAGGTGGTTTACTTATAGGAGGAAAATATCAGAAAAGGGTCTAAAGATTGACAAGTATGCAGATGATGCTTAAAGTTAGACATACATTGTACAATCAAATGATGCATTAAGTACAGAAAATACAGTAATAACTCCATGTCAAGGTCCCTTGACAGTAATTCATCACATTGGATCAACATTAACTGTGACTTGAACATCATTGCCAAATATAAACCAACTCACAACAACTTCTCATACCTATGTTACCGCCAGGACAGCTATCTCAATTATCATCATTACTGATGGGAATTAGTTAATAGGATCAATCATTGGTTACCGTCCACTAGCCGATGATCAATAAATAATTGTTTTAAATAAGAAAATTGTTTGAAGAAGCTTGCGCATGATAGAATGAATAATATGAGATATTCATTGTTAGAAAGGTTAAATGTAGCTATTTACAATATGTAGGAAAGCAAGGAATATATGTAGATAATTATAGGGAGTATATAATGTACTGAAGCTATCAATGTAGTATTAATGAAGGACACACATATATATATATATAGCATGCTTGCAGGCCATGTAAATTGAAGAAGACACTTAAAAAAAACATTTGCTATCAACAGTATCAGTACGTATGTGCCCATTGGCTAGCTTTGCAATTAATATAATCCAATTTTGTTGGAACTGCAAGTGTGTTTTGGTACAAAGAAATTAATTATGGCCTGCAGGAGGTGCTTGAGATATCAGCAGACTGGTGCACACAACAGTGTTTTTTTTCTTTTATGTAATGTTGAATTTTGGGTATTGAGAAAAGAACAGACTTATTTTTGTCTGTGTGATGTGACATAAATAGAATGACTGATGACCATGGCCAGGGAAAGTTAAAAAAATGTATGTAGGAAATGTTAACTGCAGTTTTACTTCTATTTTTAGCCCACCATCAGCAGGGGGGATTTTTTCTAAATATCACATGAAGGTACCCCATGGTCTCTAGTTAAACATGTTGTTTTTTGGTACTCATCACAAAACCAAGATGGCCAACAGGCAGCCATCTTGAATTTGGGAATTAAAATTTGTTAGCACTATTTCTCAGAACTTACTAGAGGG